CGGAGGCCCTCAGCAAGGCGCACAAGCCCCTGTCCACCCTGCAGGATGCTGAGTTCACTTTCCAGCTGCCAACTGGGTGCAGGGCAGAAGCATTCAGCTACCAATCAGGCAAATTCAGCTACCGATCAGGCAAATTGGGATTGAGGGGGTGGGCAAACCAACCCTTTTCTTCATGCTCAGCACCTAATGATGGTGGTGGAGGGGAGTGGCAGGTAGACTGCCCCTGAATGTGGATTTTCCACTTGAGTGCTATCACTGAGGCTGTGTGCGCACGTGTGTGTGGGGGAAACCCATTGTCCCAATTTTCATCACCAGGATGTTGGAGGGTATATAGACATTTTACCACCAAAAACTGTATCTTGATGTTCCTGGATAGTGATGCCCTGAACCTCATTAAGCAATAATATTTCATGATCATCTGGGAATCCATATCCAGAAAAAATTCGAACATTTGTGATTTCTTGTGAGGGCAGTTTCTGTGGAGGGCAAAGGACAGAAGTCAGCTTTCAGGGGATCACGAGAAAACTCCGAGGAAGCAAGAAGCAAAGTCAAGTCAGTGGGATTATGTGGAGTTCCAGGAGTCTGGAAGCAAGGGGTAGAAGGGAGATTGAGTGGCAGTAAATCACACACCCTAAAATCTTTGATACATACAATCTAATCAATACTGTGCTTGTTTCTTTCATTCGTTCTCAATGAGCGTGTGCACCCTGGTAACATTGCACTGTATCCAGCAAAGACACCCTTTTTGTTCAAGGACTTCCACTTGTGCACCAGAACTTCCTCTCCCTCTCTTTAACACACACCTTTCAAACCTGTTTTAAGGGTTCCTCCAACTCTCTGGAGCAGATCTGGGGGAGGCACTGGTGATGTGCCTCAGGAAGAGGAGAGGCTCCTTGCTCATACAGGATGGTTTCATTGGATACAACCCGTAGAGAACAATGCAAGTGAGTTGAGGAAACTGAATATTGCAGCAAATTGCCCTTCATCCAGTTGTGGAATTAACTTCGGAGATTGTCCAACTGAAACTAGAATTCGGGAAGAGCGGAATGCAATAGTTGAGTCCAAATAATAATAAATGAGCTCAGTATGGAAAATCTGTTCACATACCAGGTTTGTGGTGCTTGATAAATTAAACAAACCAGAATATAAACAAAACACACAATGAGATTTTGAACCACCTAGCAGGTAATAAGATGAGTGGCATTTTAATTTTTCAAGCACAACTTGTGTGGCCTTTCCTGAGATAGTTTATTTGGTTTTCTTAGACTTTTCTTATTCAAGCGATTCCCCCACCCCAAGATTTTAAAGTATTTTCTTTTTCATGCTTTCAGTTGTACAGATAGCACCATCTACAGTTACATAAGTTAAATTTATATATTTTTAAAAAGCAAGAACAGTAAAACATCCAACCAACATGACTTCACAGTTTAGAGTTATCATTTGCAAATTATGTTTTCAATAATGGGATATTAGAAAATCACATATTCCTAATTGAAAGCAAATAGTTGTTTAAAATTGATACCTTGAAGAGCTTTTCCAAATATATTTTGATTGAACAATTTCTGACTATTATTTGTATTGCTGACACTGACACATTATTAGAATGATAGCTATTTTATGAAGTATTAAATTATATCATTAAAAGTGTTTCATTAAGTAGACTTCAAATAATATGCAGACAAACATGGAAATTAAGGATATGACCCTTAAGAAAACACTGATTTCAGAAGTAGAGAGTCTTAATTAATAAATTAAGACCTTCAATATTCTTCAGGAGATAAAATGTAATTCAATCCTGTTAGAAATCTGGAGGGTAGATTAGGAGGAAACCAACTTTCTTTAGACATAGAGCCTCCCAACCCTGCCTCTTCATGCTCAGCCTTCATGGAAATTATTGATCAAGATGATTCAGGCACAGAATGAGGTATATTGTTCGCAACAGGAGTGTTTTAATGAACATTCTCAGAAGGAGAAATATAGGAATGCAAATTAAAGTTCTAAACCACTCATAGTTATAACTGGTCAGATAGTCAATGTGTGTCTTTAAGACTAGGGGGTCTCTCTGTGTAAAACAGGTGAACAGACAGTAGCAGATGGCCTTGCAGGGCAGTGAGGCTCACCTGACTTCCTGACAGCGGAGTTCCTGCTGCTTGCCAGGAAGGAGAGAGAGAAGAGGAGACAGCAGGGGTACTGGATCAGCATGAACAAACCAGCAGAGGCGATCAAGCACTCATGCTGATGAGTGTGCAATGTCCTGAATTAAGTTCCTGCAACCTCACCCATCGCCTTCCCAGGAAACTGCATCAATTGAGCTGTTGGGAGGCTGGGCTTCCTGGAAGCTCCTGGCCAAGTTTATCAAAAAGAAACTATTGATTTTTTTTCATATTTTGATTCTAACATTTTGAGGTTTTGACAAGGATGTGCAGCACATAACATTTCAGACCTGAATTAGGTGGTTTTGAAAGTGATCTGATTTGATCCAGGCTGCATCAGAGCTCACCCATTTTGCCTTCGGTCCTGTTCAGAAATGTAGGGACTTTAAAAATGGTTACAAGTTTGTCTTCGCAGAAATGGAAGAAAATTTCAGACATGATAGCCCCTTCAGAGGAGATCTATACCACTACATTCAGGATAGCAGCAGGTGTTTTCCTGCAAGGGCAATCTTTATAGTTTTGAGTGATTTAAAAATGGATATGGTTGCCCGCCCTATTGTTTTGTTTGGAAATTTGTATACAAAGATGCTTACATAGAAGTTTCTTTATGCAAGATACCTGCCAAATTTCAGAAGGATAGATGCAGGGTGTTTTGTTGTTGATTTGCTCTGCTCTTAATGATGGGGGCCTTTAAAACTGATCTGGAGGGAGAACTAACAATATATTTCCTTACCTTCCTGTGATTTTGAGGAGAGACTGTAGGCAAAATTGTTCACCTACAAACTTTCAAAAAGATTGGTGTAGGGGCTTATATGTTAAAAACAGTTTGTAGGGAGTTCTGGAGGGGGAGCTTTCTGCTCTCTTGACAGTGAATAATTCTACAGTGGTACCTCGGGTTAAGAACTTAATTCGTTCTAGAATGGGGCCTCCCACTGCCGCCCCGCCGCCAGAGCACGATTTCTGAAGCGTTTGTAACCCGAAGCGTTTGTAACCTGAGGTATCCTAAAAGCACTGTGATAGGAAATAGAATGGAAAGCCCTGAAAAAGATATTGCCTGCTTGGAAGCTAGAGCTGTTAGTCAGTAAACCACCTCACCACCCACTTCACCCCTGCCCTTCGGTGGAGAGCTTGAGCAAAACACAACAATCCGCTTGAGTTCTCTGGGATTTTTGTAGCTCAGAGGCAGCTCTGAAACTTGGAGCAGCCTTCTTCTTCATCATCATCTTCCTTTCAGTTCTATACCACTTAATATTTAAAATAAATAAATAAATCTCAAAGCAGTTTACAATCTACATTAAAACATCAAAACAATCCAGAATAAAAGCATTACAGAAGAAAGGCAAATATAAAGTATACATTCAAAGCAACATAATTAACAGGAAAGTAAAAAATTATCTTAAACATGTCAAAATAAAACATTATAAAGTAGGTCAACTACAGAATGCACATTTAACACAGCTAACGAAAGAATCATAACATTTCAAAAGAAAACATTAGTAAAGGAAGTCAAACATAAAATACAGTGGTGCCTCGCAAGACGAAATTAATTCGTTCCGCAAGTCTCTTCGTCTTGCGAGTTTTTCGTCTTGCGATGCACGGTTTCCCATAGGAATGCATTGAAAATCAATTAATGCGTTCCTAGGAAACCGCCTTCAGACCAGGTCCGGGGACAGTCTGTCCCCGGACCTCTTCTGAAGGCTGGGGGGCAAGGGCTTTTCTTCCCACCCCCAGCATTTTAAAACCCCGGGACAGCGGAGGACTTCTCCGCTGTCCGGGCGATCTTAAAATGCTGGCGGGCGGCATTTAAAATCACTCCGGGACAGCGGAGGACTTCTCCGCTGTCCGGGGCAATTTAAAAGCCCCTGGGAAGGCAGGCAGGGGACAAAGACTTTGCCCCCGCCAGCCTTCAGAAGAGGTCCTGGACCTCTTCTGAAGGCGGGCGGGGGCGAAAGTCTTTGCTCCCCGCCTTCAAAAGCCCTCCGGGACAGGCAGGCAGGGGGAGCAAAGACTTCGCCCCCGCCCGCCTTCAGAAGGTCTTCCCTCCCCCGCCCGGCTCGGAGCACCGTTCCGGGCCGGGCGGCGCGGAGGTGTTCCCTCCCCCGCCCGGCTCGGAGCACCGTTCCGAGCCGGGTGGCGGGGAGGTCTTCCTCCCCACCGCCCGGCCCGGAGCACCGCTCCGAGCCGGGCGGCGGGGAGGTCTTCCTCCCCCCGCCCGGCTTCGGAGCACCGTTCCGAGCCGGGCGGCGGCGGCAGGTGTTCCCTCCCCCCGCCCGGCTCGGAGCACCGTTCCGAGGCCGGGCGGCGGCGGCAGGTGTTCCCTCCCCCGCCCGGCTCGGAGGAGCCTTCCGAGCCCGGCGGCGGCGGGAGGAGGTGTCCCCGCCCCGCCGCCAGGCTTCGGAGGAGGTCCGAGGACAGTGGGGAAGACGCGCTGCGCTTCCCGCTGTCCCTGAGATTTCCCTATGGGCTGTCGTCTTGCGAAGCAAGCCCATAGGGAAATCTGTTTGTGAGCGCCTCAAAACGGAAAACCCTTTCGTCTAGCGGGTTTTCCGTCTTGCGAGGCGTTCGTCTTGCGGGGTACCACTGTACACATTTAAAAAAGCATTATTAGCAAGAGAATAAAATATTATCTAAAGCATAGAACATATCTGCTGCTGTTGCTGCCAACCTTAAATGGCTTAGGGCGGCCTTACTGCTTGACCTGCTCTGGCCTATTCCTATGCAAGAGGCTGTATTGCTGGTGTGGCACACTCCTTTCATGATCTGCTATAAAGACAGGATACTAATGCAGACGACAGGGGAGGGCCATAGCTCAGCCACAGAGCATCTGCTTTCCATGAAGAATGTCCCAGATTTATTCCCAGGCGTCTCCAGCCAGGGTTGAGAGAGTCTCTGCCTGAAACCTGATAGAGCTGCTGGCAATCAAATGTGGACAATACTGAGCTACGTGGACCAGGGGTCTCACTTGGTATGAGGCAGCTTCCTATGTTCTCATGGATTTGATTAAACATGATTTTCTAGATGAGATGGATTTTAATATCCCAACATTTATAGAGACATACCATACTTTTCCGTCTATAAGACACTCCCATGGATAATTTTGGGGACTCAATATTAAGAAAATGGGGGGAGATAGTACAGAATGAGAGGAATGCCGTAAAAAAGCTCACACAAATTCCAAACATTTGAGATTGAACGCAACACAGAAGCCTCCTATTGCATTTGCAATCAACACCAGCCGCCGCCGATCACACGCCCAATTGCTGCAGCAGAGCCCAATCACCAGCAGACATTGTCGCAGCAATGCTTAATCACAAGCGGATATTGTCACAACAGCCGATCATCCGTAATAACGCCAGTGACAATCTACTACTCAAGACAGAAATCATTTCCACCGTTCCCCCTCTGCACTACCCATGTATAAGACTACGCCAATTTTTAAGTGTTGTTTAAGGTAAAAAAAATCGTCTTATACTCGGAAAAGTACGGTACATTCCGCTCCTTTTAGGAGAGCTTGTATGAAGCTTAGGTTTCAGCCTATGTCTCCCATGGCCTATCATTTCTGGATTTGTGGCAAAAGCCAAGCAGAAGATACTGTGTACTGTGTGTTGCAGTGTCACTCTTATAATAGGCCAGAAGAGAGTACAGCCATTCCCCCACTTACAGGGGGATTACCTTGCAGGCGCCCATGCACATGACTCTCCAGCTCTCTCCTGCCATTTCCAGGTTTGAATCAAATTATTTACTTACTTCCTGGCACTGCACATATACACAGTCACGTGAGATTTGTTCATGAATAAGTTGAGGGATACAGTGGTACCTCGGGTTACAGACGCTTCAGGTTACAGACTCCGCTAACCCAGAAATAGTACCTCAGGTTAAGAACTTTGCTTCAGGATGAGAACAGAAATCATGTAGCGGCAGCACAGCAGCAGCAGGAGGCCCCATTAGCTAAAGTGGTGCTTCAGGTTAAGAACAGTTTCAGGTTAAGAACAGACCTCCAGAACGAATTAAGTTCTTAACCTGAGGTACCACTGTACTTGCATACATGGACTGTTCCACCCCAATATTACGGGGGAAAGCCTATGAGAGAAAAGCTTTGTTTACTACATATAGAGCGTTCCTTTTTGAGGTGACCACAAATAACATTTGGGTAAATGTTTTAAATGAGGTGGTTGTTAACTGTATATGTGATTTCTGGTCTAATGATGTATTGTATCGTATTTAATCAACTTTTCTGCCACTAGGCAGGATCAGTTTGATCCACAGCTAAATACAATTAGTGACTTGAATTTTTACCCAGAATTCCCTACTTTAGGGGCAGAATTTGGTGCAGGTAGACAGACTGAATGTTTTATATTAGAACATATGGTCAGCTCAGACACCGTAACAACTTCAGCAAATCCCAATATTTTGCCCCTCCACACTTGTACAGTCTCCCTTTTGTGTTCCCATCTATGGAAATATGACTACTAGTTTTAGTGCTGTGAAATGAATGTCAGATGTTAGGATCTGGAAATAAAAGGATAATTTGAATATTTCTTCTTATGATTATTAAAAATGTAAGACACTCTAAAGTACTAAAATAATTCTTCATTGTGTCTCTAGAGAAATTTGGCTAACAACTGTTCTTATTTGATACGCTGGCATATGTCTTGAAAGACGGAGACAAAGAGAAAATCTGTCAAAAGTGTTGAAAAAAAATGAGAGCTAAAGTATAATAGAAGTTCAGATTCAGATATTGACTTTTTTTGAATTACTCAGTTCAAAGCAAACATGACATGTTTGGTAAGAGAATAATATTGACAGGCTACCATTGTGGATCAGTGAAACAAAGAATTTGCACTTGAACGAAAGCTGCCTTTCACAGTGTTTGATCAAATACAACACTGAGTTGAGTGTCTGCTCCTCTACAAACCAGAAATGTCCAAATATTTAAACACTGTGATGACAGTTTATCTGTCATTCATGGCATTCAACCACCTCTGGATAGTTAGAGCTCCAGCTTTGGGGAGCTCCAGAATTGGTATAAGAATGCACTCCTGCAGATGGAACAACGCACCACAAATGCAGCTGCAGCAGATTGCATTTCCACTTGCTGTGGGAACCATAGGCCTGCCCTATCCCCTTTGTTAACTTAATGGATTCTCTAATGTGTTACTTCCTGTATCCTGATTCATTACTCTGAAATAAAGGGCGGGGGCAAGACTTCCAGTTCATAGGGTCCACTTGCCTGGGCATTTTTGCTCTGAAGGCAGGAAGTGGGTATTAACGGGTTGTGATACTGATGAAAGAGCTGGTGGAAGATGCTCCTTTGGGCAAAGTGGGGCATAGGGGTGGGGGTAAGTACGGTGTGGGCGTTTCTATGCTTTTGCTTGCTGAAATCCTTGATCTCTCTCTTCCTACCTTTCCCCTCCCTGAAGGCCCTGTTCCCTCTTTCTTTCTTTCTTTCTTTCTTTCTTTCTTTGGATGTGAAGTGTGTATGAGGGTCCTGTGCTAGGTACCTGCATATTATACACACAGTGTCTATCTGCTAAAATATGTATTCCTGGAAAAGAATTAGCATGAAGTATAATCTTAATGATGTTTTAAATTGTATATTGTGTTTTGATTTTAATTTACAGTTTTGACTGCTTTGCTTTGTTTTGGGAGACACACAGAGAACTCTTGTTTTTGGAGATGATATAAATGCAGTTAAATTAACCCCACTTACATGGGAGTAAGCTCCATTAAATTCAATAGGACTTATTTCAGAGTAGACATTGCTAGGATTGAGACCTAAGGTTGTGGCTAAGCCCAATATAATTGGCTTGCTCAATTCCCATGATCAGCTATTCTCTGTTAAATTTAATTAAAACAGGTGAGCCTGATTTCGTTTCATTTAAGTAAAGTTCTTAGATCCATGCATGGATCTAACACAGTCACACTTACAAGACTGATCCTACCATCTGCAGCAGGAGAAAACAAGGTTGTTCGATCTGACATGAATCAGATCCCACACTTCAGAGTATTAGCAGGTTAAAGCCTGTTGGCCAGATTGACAACCCACATCTCTAAATTACAGCAACCTAATTTGAATGTGCTTGCCTAAGACTAAAGAGATTTATAGGACAAATATATTTAAAAATGGGTGCATGGATCCAGTTTTACAATCTCTGCAAAATGACATTGTTTATAAGTTTTCCAGAAATACTTGAGCCAAATATGTGGAGACCAAACTCTTGGCAGTTAACAAATATGAAATACTTCAAGATAAAAGACATGGGAAATTTGTGTCCTTTCAGTTTTGTAGGTCTAACATACACAGTAAACATTAGTAAGTCTAATTAAAAGCTGTAAAAATGTCTTCTCTAATAATCTGTCTTGTGATTTGCAAGTATCAAATACAAGGAAGAAGATAAATAAAATTTACTCTTTGGCCTCCCTTTGGAGCACAGAGGTGTTGTGTGTGGAATATTTCAGTATGCAACTCCAACAGGCCTCATTAGCTTGCCATCTGCCACGGTGCATAGATGCTAAAATGTTGTTATTGCAAGGTTCATTGAGCAGTAAAATTATAATATTTTTGTAAAAAAAACATTTTAAGTAAAAAAATCCCTTGAAAGAGACAAGGTGCCAAATTATGATTGAGGCTGTGATCTCATTAAAAAAAGGAAGAATGAAAGATGCCACAGAATAAAAACTTCTATATCTCTACCTTTCTCACTACTGCTTGTATCCATATATCTATCTCTCCGTCAGTTGGACTATCCTTAGGACTAAATTACAGAAGCTTGCAATTTGGATGATAAAGAGTTGTCACACCAAAAGACAGATTGTACAAATTAACTTTGTCCTGATTCTGCGTGCAGCACAATTTTGGCATCCCAAGTCCTAGCTGTTGGTTCTTCTTCTTCCTGACTTAGTCACATGGGTGAGCTTACTCAGGGGGTGAATGGGGTACTATCGCGGTGCCTTGTACTGCTTTTCTAGTCTCTGTTTTTTTTAAAGTGACATACTATTAGGGATGAAAAGGTAACCTTTGCATTAAGGTACATTGTCTCCATGAGCCAGAATTCTAATGATGCCCAGGAAAATATGCTTTATCCTAGTTATTTCTGCTCAGGACTCTTTTTACTCGTTTGTGGGGTATAAATGATTGGAGCTGTCAAAAAAAGTTGTTGTGCAGTTTCATTAAGGAAACTTTTTCTCAGCTATTTCTATTCATCATCAGTCCTAGGAAATTCTGTACAAAGAAAGGAAAATTAATAGCTGCAGGAAGTCTTGTTAGTTGGACAGTTATCTGTAACTGTGAAAAAGATAGCTTTAGAAATATTTCTCTTTCTATTTATAAAAAGCAGCTACAGAGGCCTCGGGCTAAATATAAACAACATTTATTACTTACATTCCATATCTGTATAAAGGTATACAGTGCTATTTTTCTAGAAAAATAGGTAACGCCTCCCTTGTTCTCTTATAATGGCAAGGGCGCCCACCTGAGAGGTGCTGAAACTGAGTTCCAGTGAGTTCCGGCTGAAAAAATCCCTGAAGGTATACAGTTGCAATAGAAATTATTCAACACCCATTGCAAATCAGGTTTATTATCAAAATTTAAAGACTTTCAGCTGTTTGCAACGGGCAAATCAAACAAAAGCAATTGAAATAGCTCAACACAATGGATGCTTCAAGTGGTTTCCCTAAATTCAGCTGAAATTGCAACCTATACTGGCTTCTCCAGTCTTATCACCCTTCACAAACAAGGAACAGGATACAAAAAGATAGTGAAGGCACTGAAAGTTCCTAGGGACACCGTAGGAAGCAGAGTTCGCAAATTCAAAGTTACAGGAACAGTGGTTACACTACCTGGACCATTGCACAGGATCATCATAATGCAGAGTCCTTCCAGAAGGGGCCTGGGGTGGAGAAGGGGGGCCCTGGCACACCCTAAGCTCAGGTTGTGGCACCTGCATGGCTGGAATCTCTGACCCCAGACACCCAGTGAGACCCTGGAGACTTGGCTTCCTCCACACCAGGGCCAAATGTTGGGTAATTCTCATGGAGAAGGTTGGGGTGTTTCCTAATACTGATGGAGGGCCATTTTATCAGCAAGGATTGTTTGAATGTGTAGCAGGATCCTTGCCCTACTGCCATGCCAACCCTGCTTTCTACTGTTATTGAATAAATATTTGACCCAATTCCTCCCTCCCACCAGCTCTGTGTCCTACCTAGTTATTTCACTGTTGTCACAGAGCCCCAAACTGTCCCTGACAGGACAATTATATTATGCCTAGAGTACCTAAAGCTGCTTAGGGTGCATAATTGATTTACCAAGGTACATAGGCTAGAACTAGACATTAGGGCACATTATTATTAGTAGTAATAGTAGTAGTGGTATACCACCTTCATCTGAAGTTCACAGGGCGGTTCACAATATAAAAATACAAATCAAGATAAAAAAAATACATAAAAAAAAAGCCAATAACCCCTTTCCTACACATTTAAAAGTCCATCGAATGTTTAATCAGCCAAAGGCCTGCTTACAGAAAAGTATTTTCACCTGGTGCCTAAAGGTATGTATCCCCCCCCAAAAATGGGATGTCCCAATTTAATCAGCACAGTTGAGTGATATGCATTCCACAAACAGGGAGCCTCAGAAAAGCCCCATTCATGTGTTACGACCCTCAGGACCTTTTGTGAAGGAGGCACATGAAGAAGGACCTCAGATAAAGATTACAGGCTCTGTATCGGTTCATATGCAGAGAGGCAGTCCTTTGGGTTTTGTGGTCCTGAGCCATTTAAGACTTTATAGGTCAAAACCAGCACATTGAATTCAGCCCCAAAACTAATTGGAAGGTAGTGCAGTTGGGCTATGATTGGTGTAATATAATGAAGCCTTCCTGCCCCACTAGGCAACCTGGCCCCCCAATTCTGCACAAGCTGAAGTTTCTGATCCCTCTTCAGAGGCAGTTCTACATATAAAATGTTGCAGTGATCTAACCTAGAGGTTACCAGAGCATAAACCACAGAAGTTAAGCCGCATGTGAGGCTGCCATCAAGAACAGCAGTCCTGTGCGTATCTCCTCCCCACCTAACCCACCACTCCAACCTAATAAATGAGACCTGAGATTGCACTGGCTTTGCCTGTCTGTGCAACTGATACCCAGGGAAGTGGTGCATGCATGAGGAAATTCAGAGAGCAGGGGCAGAACACTGTTATATCTGGAGATGTTATGCGCCAGAAGAAGAAGCAGTGCTGGCTTAAACCCTGTGGAGGTCCCTAGGCAGTTGAAGGTTGGAGGTCCCTAGCGCACTCTAGTGGGATCACATCAAACTAAGAAAGCTTGATTGTATTTTTCTTTCAAGATCAAATCAATCTTATTTTGATCTGTTGTCATGGGGCCCCTAAAAGGCATAGGGTCCATAGGCTGGTGCCTGCTCTGCCTATTTGGTAATCTGGCATTGAGAAGGAAGATATCTGGAGTTGGTATCTACAGTGTAGCTTCATGTTTGCCAAAATTTGCTAGCTTTGGCTTTAGATAACTGAAAAAAGCAAGCAGATTTCCTATTTGTGTCCTTCCCTCTTGACCTTGGCAAGTTCCTCTTCCCCAATTCTTAAAGTGGTAATTGGACAAATCCTTAGTATGACATCAATACCTGTCAGTTGAGCCTCTTCCCATTTTATTTGCCCTTTTATCAACAAATCCAATATATGGTGTCCTTTTGGAGCCAATTTCAGCAAGGCAAATATCTAAGAGTTGCTACACTACTTGGTTTGATCATCTTAATTTGCTCTAGACACAGAATCATAACAGCTTCCTAGGATATACACAGCTGCTTGGAAAAGAATCTAATAAAGTTGTAGTCAACACTCTTCCATAATGCAATTGAGAAGACAAATATCAACAATAGAGTGCATATTACTTCAGCAGTTTAACTTTCCCCCCTTCCAAAGACACTCCACATCCATCATCAGTTGGTATCAAGAAATGTCAAGATAGCTTAGAGATACAGATGAAACTTCTCAAGGATACAAAGAGAAATGTGACACAACTCTGAAATGTTGTAACCTATTGCTGGATTTTTGATCTTACAAAACCTATATTGTTTGCATCCTGCAACTGAGGGGAAAGGGAACAAAATGTTTTATAGTGGTCTGCGCTGAAACACACCAATTTTGATTTAGAGTGACACATTATTTATTAGCCCGATTGTCACACGATAATGCCATCTGAAGACCGTGCATTACATGAGTTACTCTGACAGCACACCATTATTTAGGCTATAAATACTGGCTTGAGAATCTTAAACCCATCATATATGTTCATAGGAAATAGCAAGGCATTTTTCAAAATGGAATAAAATAGCAATCCATGTCAAATTGTTCTGCATGCATTGTAAGACTAATTTGGCATTCATCTGTATCTTAATGATAGGTGCTTGCCAATGGACAGGTAGAGAATCCTTATTATTTATAGCAGTATATATGCCAAGCATTCAAATATTCCTCTGCACCAGAAACCCTCTTATCTTGTGGCTATACCAACATAGTGCTGGTTCCTGTAGTACATAGACAAGGAAAGAGAGGTCTCAGAGATGCCCAAGTACATTCAGAGACTGGTACAGTGCAGGATAAAGACTTATAGCAAAGTTGACTGTTAGATGTTTTGTTTTAGGGTGAATCAACAATTTCACTTCAAATTTAATTTTCAGTGAAATTTTAGATAGATTAAACTTTAACTACATGCTGAATTGAATTTATACTCCATCCTTAATGGAAAGTGATCTATCACAGTGAAGATGAGGATATACTGCAATCCCCCAAACAAATATTTCGCTTAAAGCAGCTTTGGCTGTTCTAAAGAAGTGCAAGAACCTCATGTTCCCTGTGCTTACATCTCTCCATCTTGTGCAAAATAAGTCTTTGTGTGAACCAGTGGAGGTTTAGTCTGCAGATCTTTGCATGACTGGTTGACCACTTTATCCTGCCAGTGGATTTACTTTGCAGAGGAGAACATCTGCACACCATGCCCATTAGGCCATATCTGACAAGAGATTTCCCTATGTAAATACAAAAATCTGAATTGCATTCCCACTTGAAGAAGTGGCACAGGGGGGAATTGGAAGTGGTGCAGAGAGGACACACCGTGCTAGAAATGTTCACACATTCACCAGTAATTGTATGAATTTTTCCAGTTATATAGACCAGAGCTTGACAAAGTGTGCCCTCTAGATATTGATAATTTATATTAACAGTGGACTTGATTATCAGTCAAAATGCTGATGAGTGTTTCTTCACATGCTTAATTTTATAAAGTATGGTTCGTATTATTATAATTTAGGTTTCTTCACCATGAGGACCTGGGGCAGGTTCACAATAATTCAAAAATACAATATTAAAATCTGTTAAAACAAATCACAGCTTTAAGGTAGGTCTTGTAAATATACCTGAGGGGTCAAAGTCCTGGATAAAAAGGTACTTCTTCAGCATCTTAGGAAAACCATATAACAAAGATGCCAGCTGCACCTTTGCGGGAGCCCATAGTTGAAGACCCTCTCCCCAGATGCTATCCCTACCAACTTCCAAGGGCAGCAGAATGGCCAAGAGTCCCCCGCCCCCCGATCATAACACCCAAGTGGGTTTGTAGGAAAGGATGCTATCTTTCAGATAGTGAGACCTAAGTCATTTAGAGCTTTAAATACTAATGCAAGCATCTTGAATTGGGCCCAGAAACAACCAGTTCATTTGTCGTAAATTATGTGCACGTTCAAGTCATGTGGCTTGCAAATTACGAGCATTTTCAAGAGTGCGTTGGAAGGCAGCTTCAAATGTGTATGCTGATTATTACTGCTTAGAATGGAAAGTACATACAAATGCACTTCTGAATGTAGACTTGTCTAATCTTTCTGCTTCGTTGCTTTTAATAAGATGCACGTTCTGAGGTAAATCTGAATACATATAAAGTAAGTTATTTATATGTGCAACTAAGTGCTACTGCCACTGCTTGCATTTTCTCACCAGCCTGCTTAACCCCACCCACTTGCCAACCCCCACTCTTCATACCTCACCCAACCCTAACCCCTCAGTGCTTCTTCAAGCCCCATTCCCTCACATCTCCTTCAGGATAGGTATATCAGCGCCTGATTCCCCCCAAAAAGGGGCTGTTTGAAGACACATACCTACCATAAAATAGTATTTTATACTATTTTATACAGAAAGCACTGCATATTTACTCTCCTTCAAGCTTTTTACTAAAGATATTTGCTCTGACTCAAGTTTTGTTGGAACTGGCAATTGCAGCTGTGAGAAGAAAACGTTCAGTCAAAGAGGTTGTCTACTTTGACGTAGATATCATTCAGCTCATCCATTTTTTCAGCACGAGCAGTTAGATTAGTCAGGTTTCTAAACTGACAAGCTGTGGAGAGAAAATGTTTGTACTGGTGACAGATGGACAAGGTCAGTATGAAATAGAAAGCCTCCAGTACAGCCACTTTCAGAAACTCAAAACTGAATCCCACTGAAAGCAGCGGAGATGCTTTCAAGCAGCTGTGCATATGATTGCAATGTTTGGGTACAGTTCTATCAAAGCCTCAGCAGGATCAGGTTTAACTGTGGTGTCTAGTGGGACATGGTTCCCAGAGGAAATCTGCTAGAGTGAGTGGCTTTGTGTTCAAGAGTAAGTGATTTTAGGGCTGCACCGTTGATGGATTTGTCCAGATTAAAGTTCATCCATCCCAAAAGCTGGGCATGGGTAAGGAAAGGACACCCCAGAATACAGTTATGCTGCCCCATGGAAGATGGAGCAAGCTTGTTTTCTCCTGCTCCAGAGGGCAGGACCAGAACCAATGGATTCAAGTTACAAGAAAGGAGATTCCAACTAAACAACAGGAAGAACTTTCAGACAATAAGAGCTGTTTGACAGTGGAGTGGAAGACCTCAGAAGGTGGTAGGCTCTCATTCCTTGGTGGTTTTTAAGCAGAGGTTGGATGGCTATCTTTCCTGGATGCTTTAGCTGAGATTCCTGCATTACAGAGGATTGGACTAGATAATCCTTGGGGTGCCTTCCAACAATTCTATGATTCTATTACTTTATCCTAACTCTCTGCTATACCTGGCAGATTTAAAGTGTACCTAGGCAGTATTCCCAACCACATCTGGTTTGTAGCACAGTTTCTTAAGCTGGGAAGCAGCGCTTGCCCTTAATCCACCCCCACCTGTCAGTTCCTGCTGCAACGGTCCTTCAGGCAGAAGTGAGACTAGATGGCACATTAGCAGGGTCGATAGTTGCAAGAAACCATTTGCAGGAGAGACATTGTATATATATATATATATGGTAGACATTAAGCATCCTGCTCTCCTGCCTGATGATGCTCCTCCCTTAACAATGAGCCCAAGTGTGCACATTCCATTTCCTGTTATCTCAGCAAATGGGACCA